AATCTACTCAGTCTCCAGATGTGGACACTTTGTTCCCCAATGGTGGCTTACCACTTGGAGATTGAAGTACGAGGCACACCATGCCTGAACAAAGAAAATGCAAGAGGATGCAAAAATTAGAAAAAGAAGAAGGCTATGTCATGCATAAGCAATGACGTTCAAACTAACCCAAAAGATAAACCCTTGACTGTCATGCTCAGCCTAGGTCATCAATCAGATTAATCACTCCTCTACCTGACCTCAGGACAAGAGACTTGTGGGGAGGGAGTCTATAATGCACAATCAGCCTCTGCCCACTTAGTGAGAAGTGTCCCCTCTGTGGGACTCAGAAAAGTAGGCAAATAACAATCCCTCTGCTACCTCTCTTCACTATGGCCCCAGTTATCCAAGCCAAGTACCTGGACATCAACAAAAACTACAACCATCTTTCTCACTTTACCATCTTCTATAGTCTACCAATTACCAAAGCCTGAAGTTTTGTCTCCTAGATCTTTTTCCATATATCCTCTCTTTTTGACTACCCTACCTCCACGGAGTTCTGGTGTGGCCCTGTAGGATAAGCACTGTGCTGCTAACCACAAGGTCAGTGGTGTAAACACACCAACTGCTTATGAATTGGAACTGACTTGACATCACAACCACCCTATTTCCATATTAGATACATCTCCTAATTCTTCTCTGACTTAAGTCATGAACTATTTCTAATCTAATCTCTACATTGTAACCAGAATGATCATTCTGAAACTCAATTGTGATCATGTCACTTCTAACAGTTTATCATTGACTAAAGGATAAAGGGCTAGCTCTTTAAAATCAAAACTCCTCATGGCCTACTCATCTACTCATTATTTCTTAATTCCTGTGCCTCCACTCCCCATGTCCCACACTCATCTCAGTAATATTAAAATGCTGGCAATTTCTGCCACCCAGTACATAATAGCACGCCTCCATACTTTTGTTCATATGATTCCTTCTGTCTGAAATACCCTAAACTCCTTGTCTCGCTTGGTTAACTTGGTTCAGTGCTGTAGATTCTATTTAAGGATTCCTCTAGGAATCTGTCTCTAACCTCAATTCTTGCACCCTGTCCTGCCCTTTAAGCTTGAAAAATTTCCCCTATTTTGTTCTTGCATAACACTTCAAATAGATCTATCATTAAATTTACTATCTTAGGGTGACATTTATTTTCATGTCTATCTTTCTATTGAACAGAGGTTATATCTCCCTTGTGACTAGAGGTCACTAGCACAGTCTTTGCTCTTTCAAATTGTTCATTTACTCCCTCATTTATCCATTCATTCAATAATCACTTATTGATGACTTTTATGGGTATGACCCATCTCACTCAACCACTTTTATTTTGCTGGGTAATAATATCCTGTGTGTAAGCCATCATTTTCTCCCTTCTCTACCATTCTGGAGCATATGAAAAACATTTGTTAACCATTTCAAATTGTGATTTGTTTTTAAATTACACATTTGAATCATTTTTAAATGCTCTCTCTTCTGGTGACATAACTGACTGATGGTACTGTGTCTTTTTTATGGGTCCAGACTGACATAAGTGATGCTGTGTAACAGTCTATTATTCCAGACCTCTGAGACTATTGCTTTTTCCTCACTGGGAAATGCTAATCATAATGTCAACCATCAGAGTTAAATACATTTTGATAAATAATAATAGCAAAGTAATAACAGATTCTTATTTGTTAGCAGGTCTTTGAAGCCTCTCAGACTTGGTCTGTCTCTTTTCTCTTCATCAGTCTTCCTGCTCACTGGGCTTAGCTGTTAACGGGCGCTGATTCTTTTTGTTCAAGTTCATAAAGGTCAAGTTTACAGAGATTTGATGTGAATCCTATTATTTCCAAAGGAAATCTCATAAAAGAATGGAGAAAGGTAGAAGGTGGTTGATTGTCAGCCTTTGAAGAAAAAAGGCAGGGCAGGACAGCTACTCCAGGGGCACTGGGCTTGGGAACTGGAGAATAATGAAAGATATGGGCTCTCAGAGCCTGTAACCATGAGGAGATTGAGCAGCCAAGAACTTAGGAAGGGAAGGGGGAACAGGAAGAACATGGTCATGAGAAAAGAAGGCAGAAAGGCCTCTAATAACAACTGTCTTACTGTAGGAGTCCTGGTGTGGCACTATGGGTTAATGTGCTGGGCTGAAAAGTCAGTTTGAACTGCAAGATTGATAGTTCAAGCTCACAAGCTGCTCCTCAGAAACTCTGTACAGGGTCCTTATGGGTTGCAATCGATCGACTTAATGACACTTAGTAACAACAAGCCTACTACAAGGAGTCCTGCTGTGGCTCTATGGTTAATATGCTGGGCTGAAAAGTCAGTTTGAGCTGCAAGTTTGATAGTTCAAGCTTACAAGTTGCTCCTCAGAAACCCTATACAGGGTCATTATGGGTTAGAGTTGACTTGACGACACTTAGCAACAACAACAAGCTTACTGCGAGGAGTCCTGGTGTGGCACTAAAGGAAAAGCACTGGACTGCTAACCACAAGGTTGGCAGTTCAAATCCTCTGGTCACTCCTTGAAAACCCTGTCACTATGAGTCAGAACCAACTCTACAACACTTAAAAACATCAACAAGCCTATTGCAATCAGCACTGGACTGCAAACCACAGGGTCAGTGATTCCTGCCCACTAGTCTCTCCGTCCTGGTGGGGCATTATGGATTAATGCACCAGACTGCAAAGACATTTGAACTGAAAGGTTGGCAGTTCAAACTCACCAACTGCTCCTTGGAAACCCTATACAGGCTCGCTATAGGTCAGTCAGAATTGACTCAATGGCACTTAACAACAACAAAGCCTCTCTGTGGGAAAAGGTTTTCTGCTCCCACAAAGATTTATAGACTCAGAAACATATACCACGTCATGACGAATCTGAACTAACTTGATGGCACTTAACAACAACAGCCTATAGCAGTGGGCCCACTCCTCAAGGGAAGAGTAAGATTTGTATAAACTATTACATGAAGCAAACTATAACAAGCTGATCTGTTAATTTTTGTATTTTGATAACTAGATTAATAAATACGCTATTCTGTGGAGCCCTGTTGGCATCCAGTTCGACTCCACTGGTCACAGCTGGGAGACAAGACCTGGAAATTTGCTAACTTGAAGATTTCAACCTAGGAAACCCTCTGGGGCAGTTCTACTCTTCCCTTTAGGATAACTATGAGTTACAACCCTGAAACATTTTAAAAATACATTTAGTAAATACATGCCATGCTGTCACACACATACATGCTTTTGAGTCAGTTACTACTCATAGTGACCCTGCATAGGGTTTCGGAGGCTGTAAATCTTTACAGGAGCAGAAAGCCTCATCTTTTCCCAGGAAGGAGCTGATGAGTTCAAACCACCACCTTGTGGTTCACAGTCCAGTGCTTATCATATGGAGCCACTGTACTCCCCACACATCTACAGGACTGAACATATTTTATAACCAGCTCAGACGGAATTTCAGTCATAAACACAATATGTCTACCCTGGAGTGTAGAAATGGATGTAGACCCAGAACATACACACAACTGCACAATCAACATACATCTCTTTTTCTTCAGCAAAGTTCCACACTGGGTTCTACTCTGGTTTCTTCTCCTAAAAAAAAGTAGCATCATCCCATCATCCCAGGGCAATTTCAATAGTCTTTTAAGACTACTACTCAACAAGAGTGATCAGTGATAAAACTGAAAAGAGAAATCTGAGATTGTTCTTACCCTAAGATTTTTTTCTTACCCTGGATTTTTCCTAAAGCTTGAAATATTACATGTCTTCATTTTCAGCATTTTAATCAGCCCCCTCTCTGTGCCCAGGGCCTCGTGACCAAGGGCATCTCATACCCTGCAATCCAAAACTCCCTGCTCAAAATACAATCTGAGCTTTCTGTTTCATGGTCACTTTCATTGCTGGATTTCCTGAGTTTGGCCTTTGGACTCAAATTCTTCATGCCAAGCATCCAATACCTCTTCATTTTCTCATTGCTCCTCTTTCTCCCCATTCAGATTTTGTTTCAAGTCTACTTCTCCACTCCCAGGCATGATATGCTTTTCATTCTCTGGTCATTCTGTCAGTTAGAAAACACCTTTGGAGAATAATTGAACTCCGTTGTGTCCATTCGGACTCATGGCTACACTGAAGGGTAGAGTACAGCTGCTCCATAGGGTTTTCTATGCTAGAGCAGAGAGCCTAATCTTTTTTCTGTGTGCTCCATCATTCTATTCTTTTTGATCCTATGTTGCAAAAATAAATTTTTAGAAAATACGAACAAAACTACCCAAAGTTATGGGGTCTGGTCTTGATTTGATTGATACATTTCTAAGCTCAAAGGTTGACACACATAACAAAGCAACTCCAAGTCACCATTCCTCATCTTCACATTTTATAAATCTCAAGCCAACGGAGCCCTAAGCAGCCCTAAGCTTTAGAAAAATATTTACCAAAATGACTCCTCTCTATTTTTGCTGAGGGGAAATAAGGTGTTAAGTTGATAAATTGCTAAAGGTTGTTACTGTTTATTTGAATTATTTATAAAAAGATCAATGCTGATCAACTGTAGTTAAATGACAAAGGTAATAAGCCCAAAGCATTCTTTTGAGGGTTGAATGAATTGTTTTCTTTCTTTAGAATTGGAGAAAATGAAAAAGACAATTTAATGGTTAGATCTGAGCCCCAAGCTAAAAAAGGAGGGTTTGGTTTTAACCCAAGCTAAAGAAGGAGGGCTGGTGAGTGTGTACATGTGTGTACGTGTATACATGCATGCTTGTGTATGTGTGTGTGCGCGTGTGCGTGTGCGTGTGTGTGTGTGTGTGTGTGTGTTGGAGACTATGATAATGCATACAAACTCAGCAAGATCCATTGGTGGCTTAGAAAACTCCCCTAAGCCACTCATTCCTAGGCAAGCACTGGAAAAACTTACCCACTCTCTAGTGGCATGCTGGTTTACTGTGAACTTCATGTAAGACTATTATTATTTTCAACCTCAGAAATATTTACCAAAAAATCAAGGACCATGACCTCCTGGACAAAAGGAAAACAGTCACAGCACTGAAAGCAGGAGAGGACCGGGCCATTCTCCTGGGACTGGCCATGATGGTGGGCTCCATCATGATGTACTTCCTGCTGGGAATCACACTCCTCCGCTCATACATGCAGAGGTAATGCCACTGGGCGTCTCTCCCTCTTCCTCCTTCCCCATTGGTTTATCAACCCTGAGCTCCTCTTCCTCGCCTTCTTTCCTAATAAGAACTTTGAACAGTACCTGGTACATCTTAATTTTTCAAAATTGTTACCAACTAATAAAGATAAAAACAGCTCTATGTATAAACTGCCTACTATGTGACAGGGACTCTTCATACATTTCTTTAATTCGTACAACTATTCTACAAGGTGGTGGTGGTAGTTATGTGCCGTGGAGTCGGTTCCAACTCATAGCGACCCTGTACAGGGTTTCTGAGGATGTAAATCTTTACAGGAGCAGAAAGTCTCATCTTTCTCCTGTGGAACAGCTGGTAGTTTCGAACTGATGACCTTGCGGTTCGCAACCTGATTCGTAACCACTATGCTATAAGTATTAATATTGTTGTTGTTGTTCTTGTTATTCAGTGTCATCGAGTCAGTTCCTACTCATAGTGACCCTGTATAAAGTTTCCTAGGAGCAGCTGGTGAATTTGAACCACTGACCTTGCAGTTCAAACTAACCTTGGGATTAAGTATTTATCTCATAGCACCACACCAGGTCCTTCAAGTATTAATATACTTGTTATGAAAATGTCAAAGCTAAGGTATGGAAGAGTTAAATAATTTCCCCAATATCACACAGTTCTAAAACTCAAACCCAAAACCAACTAATTCCAAAAGCCTCTGTTCTTGCCATTTAATGTCTTATGTTCGCCTTCCACCCTCATTCCTTTTCTAGCTCATTCATCTGTTCATCACCCTACAAATCAGTGCTTCTCAACAGCACATTAGCTCTTCCTGAGGACATAAAAAATACTGATTCACACACCCCACCAACATTGCCCTAGAAGGAGTCCCTGAGTGATTCAAAGCATGAACACACTTGGCTGCTAACCAAAAGATTAGAAAATCAGTTAAAAACTGAGGCACATTGGAAGGAAGGTCTGACAATCTACTTCCAAAAAAATCTGCCATTGAAAACTCTATGAAGCACAGTTCTATTCTGACACACAGGAGGTTTCATGAGTCAGAACGGACTCAACTGGCAAATGGTTAAAACCAGATGGGATAGAGTCACCAGCATCTTTTAAAGTTACACAAGTGATATTAATGTGCTACCAAGACAGAGTTCTGGGGTGATGCTATTGTATAAGCACTGGACTGCTGATCACAAGGTTGGATGTTCAGACCCACCAGACACTCCTTGAAAGCCCTATACGTGGCCACTATGGCTCAGAACGGACTCAAAAGCACTTAACAACAAGAATAACCAAAATTTAGAAACATTGCTATCCATCAACATTAAAAAAAAAAAAAAAACAGATTGTAAACTCTTTTTATTTAATATTTGTTCCAGGTTCATTGAATAACCAGGAAGGCAAATAAATAGTAACAGTAAGGTGTTCCTCTCTAAGTAAGCCACGTGGTAAGTCCCAGAGCATCTTTAGTTAACTGTTGTCCATAAAGTGGATGTGAAGCACAGAAGACATATGTATAATGGGGAAGATCTCACAGTGGTTCAGCTAATTAAAGCAACAAGACCCTTCCAAATGATGTAGAACAAAATTCAAAACAATAAAAAAGACCAGACTTACTGATCTGATAGAGACAATTGGAATCCCCAAGATTGTGGCCCTTAGCCTTCAAATCTAGAACTGAACCCTCCTGTGGGGATGGTCTTTCATCACAGAAAGGACTATTCGGTGATTCATAACACCTATGAGGTGAGGCACATGCGCCTCAGTACAGTCAGCCACACTAGACCAAAAGGGCAGCATTTGTCCAAAAACAAAGGTCACAAGGTAGGAAAGAAAAGTCAATAAAAATGGGGACCCTGGGAGGAAGAGGAAAGAGTGCTGTTACATTGAGGGGATTCCAATCAATGCCACAAAACAAAATGTTTATGAATTTTGGAATGAAAAACTAATTTTCTCTGAATTTACACCCATACCACAATAAAATCTTAAAAAAAAAAAAAAAACAAACACCTTCCAAATGAAAAATTCAGTTCGAAAGGAAACCAAATCTATTCTGTGACATTCATTTCTCCATGTAAATTAATACTTTCATTATAGAACCAAAATCGAGCTGAAATACAGTAATTTGCTAAAATTAAGGCATCGTCTTTCACGTTTGTCTGGCTTCTCTGCTATGTTGCTCTCTGATGGCCTTCAGCTGTGCTTGTTTTCAGGAAACGTGCTGATGCCTCAGGCCCCAAGTATTTCCTGATTCCAAAACCATTTCCAGATCCTCACATCTGCTTAGAACCTTATATTGTTGTTGTTAAATGCTGTTGAGATAGTTCTGACCCATAAAGACTCTTTAGAGTGACCCATAAAGGTGAGCTTGAACCACCAACCTTGTGCTTCAAACCGACTTTGCAGTACAGCACATTAACGCATCAAGACTATAGTATAAGTGAAATCTGACATTCCTTGTCCTTGTTGTTGTTAAATGCCATCAAGTCGATTCCAACCCATAGTGGCCCTGTATAGAGTTTCCAAGGAGCAACTGGTGAGCTTGAACCACTGACCTTGCAGTTCAAATAGCTTTGCAGTCTGGCGCATTAACACACAGCACCACACCAGGACTCCTTCCTTATCCTAGGAGGGTAGCATTTGCCATACCACAGGAGGTTAGGTCTAATTTCTTACCACTAATATAAAATTTCCCCCCTGTAACAGGGGGTCTTGTCAACACCTATCCAGCAGAAGGAAGCTGTATTAATCTACGAAGAAAACATGCTTTCCAATCAAAACATTGATTGGTGTGTTACTTCCTAATTATAAACATTACCCTTGTTCATAAAATTATAAGTATTTCAGAATGAAAAGCTGACTAATGGGCAGCTGGACATTTTGTTGTTGTTGTTGTATCTTTCTAGGTGAGAGGTCTCCATTTACTGATATTAACCAGTAATTGGTTCCATTGTGCTCACAGAGGGGCAGGACAGTACAATGGCATGAGCCTGACCTTTGAGAAACAGGGATTGCAATCACTTACTAGTTGTGTGCCCTTGGATATATTACTTGATTTCTCTGCCTTCAGTGTCTGTACCTATTACCTTCACCTGTAAAAGGAATTAATATTCTACTTAAAGAGTTGTTGGGAAGATAAAAGGAGCTATTCCTTATGTGAAACACCAATCTTGGAGTGAAGAGGAGTGATTGCTTTCGGTATAATCAAACTATCCAAAACCCTTTGCCATTGATTGAGTTGACACCAACTCATACTTACCCAATAAAACTGAGTAGAACTGCCCCATAGTGTTTCAAAGACTATAAATCTTTGCCTCATCTTTCTCCCACAGAGTGGCTGGTGGTTTTAATCCAACAATCTTTTGGTTAACAGGCTAGTGCTTAACCTACTAATCCACCAGAGCTCCTGGTATAGCCAAAGTGTTGAGTTTTTGGGGGTTTTTTTTTCCCTCTCTTACTAGTAATGTACCTCTTTCCTTCCCTCTTTCAAGTTGAACCTCAAGCCCTTCCACCCCTTTGCCATCTTTCCTTCCCTTCTGCCATACATCTCTGCTTATAAACTAGGTTGGGGTAAAGGTCTGGACAAGGAGAGTATGAAGTAGACCATTCCAGAGGTAAAGAGTGAGGCATGGCAGGGAGTGGCTTACAAAATAGAAATAAAGGGTTAGTACAGGTCACAGTTTTGAAAATTACCTTATCTTTACCAATGGATTCAATAAAGGAAAGCATTTCTAAATTAAACCAGGCATTGGAGAGTACACTATAGCCAATGGAAGTCATTAGAAAAGTTCTCAGTTGCCAGCAATATTTGTGTATGTTTGTACTGTAGTTTGCCTAAATCTGCTCTAAAAAGACATAAACTTTACAGAGCCAAATACCAATGGACTGTATTTGAGATTTCGAAAAGACTCTTCATGGTAAGATGCTGACAAGTGCATACACCGTCCTTGCCATTACCTCTTTGGACCTATGTTTCCTCTCTCACCCCTTTCTCCTAGTGTGTGGACAGAAGAGTCTCAGTGCACCTTACTGAATGCATCCATCACAGAAACATTTAACTGCTCCTTTAGCTGTGGCCCAGACTGTTGGAAGCTCTCTCAGTACCCCTGCCTCCAGGTGTATGTGAACCTAACTTCTTCTGGAGAAAAGTTTCTTCTCTACCACACTGAAGAGACGATGAAAATCAATCAAAAGGTAGGAACTTGACACACACTGCATTATGCTAACCCCACAGAGCACTAGGCCCCTCTCATCTCTCTCTGAAGTCTCCTTTGCCAACATTTCAAAGAAAAATGTCACCAGGAAGCAGATTCTGCCTCACCTATGCACAGAACTAGCTATCTGATTATTTTCTGGGGTACATTTATTTTCCATGCATGTTGTAAACAAACCATTCCCCCAGTTTTTAATAGTGCACATTTACTCTTTAATTCCTTCATATTCTATCCATACTTATACACACAGAATGAGTCTTTCAAAGAAAATGCACACTTGGACAGAGTTGTACGATCCCAAATGCTAGTGACTGCCCTCTCAAAACCGGGTTTGTATCTTGTACCTGGAAGCCATGTGCTAATACTATACTTTGCTTTTTAATTGCCCTTGTCACTTTGTTCTGTGACCTGGAGGATGTTGCTTAACCTCTCTGAGCCTCAGCTTCCTTTTCTGGAAAAAGAAAACAAACAAACACAAAGGCCAAGGCAATAGATTTCTTACAAAGTCATCATGAGGATTAGAGTCTGGGAAGTGCTGAGCATAGTACTCAGCATAGGGAGACCTTCAATGAGAAGTCACAGTTACCACTGTAGTTTGTTGTCCCTCTGCTTGAATAAGCAGCAAGACTGATAAGTTCCAAATTAAGTAGCTAACTTCTGTCACTGACACTGAGGATAGACAAGTCTGCTTCTTAACACTAGCCTAAATCATCCATTGCAGAAATACAAATTGTCTCATCACTTTTACCCCAAAATTCATTTATATTCCTATTGGATTATATAGAGTTCCTCAACCCTTCTTAGACATCCCGCTACAAGAAGTAATAAAATGGAATAGATGACCACTCAAAGATTTCTCCAGCTTTCTAAATGCAAATAAATATCTCTGGTTAAGTTTCTTTCTGTTTCTCACTATTCTTTTATATACTTCTGTGTGTGTGTGTGTGTGTGTGCGTGCATACACCTGCCTACATACATGCATGCTTTCTTCTGGTTGTTGTTGCTGTTGTTAAGTGTCAGTGAGTCTGTTCCAAATCATTGTAGCCCTGTATAGGGCTTCCAAAGAGCAACTGGTGGGTTTGAACTGCCAACCTTGTTGTTCAAAGTCCAGTGCTGATCCTACAGTGCCATGCCAGGAGTCTGAATTGTCTATTACAGACAGGCCCTGGGTTACAAATATCTGACATACAGACAACCTCTTTTTGCCCTTTCATGTTATATAAATTTGCCCTCACTTTGAGACAATCGAATCAATTCCAACTCACAAGAAATTTTCATTACAATCACTTTCACTTGTTGCACATACAGCATTCAAATCACTGAAAAGTCTTCAAATCTTTTCTTGTGCTGAAATCAAAAAGCCCAAACAGCTGCCATCGAGTCAATTCAGACTCATAGAAATCCTAGTGTTTATCAAGGCTGTAATTCTTTAAGGAGCTCTGGTAGCATAGTGGCTACGAATCAGGCTGCGAACCGCAAGATCAGCAGTTCAAAACTACCAGCTGTTCCACAGGAGAAAGATGAGGCTTTCTACTCTGTTAAAGATTTACAGCCTCAGAAACCCTGTATAGGGTCACTATGAGTCAGAACTGACTCCACAGCACTTAACAACAACAACAATCTTTAAGGGAGCAGACAGCCTCATCTTGCTCACACTGAGCAGCTGATAGATTTGATCTGTCCACCTTACAGTTACCAGTCCAGTGCTTATCCTACATTGCTACCAAGGCTAAATAAGAGCCATATGCCAAGTTACCTACAAATTCATAGCAACATGTTTAGGAACTGATTTCGTTCATAACCCAAGGACTGCTTATACAGATATATTCAAGTCCATGTTGTGAGTACTCAACAAATGTGTACTATATTAAACCTAATACATAAAATGTGCATGCCTAAGGGCTGGAGTGACTAGTAAAGTGCCAGAAAAACCAACCAGTCTTATCAAGTTTAAGTTAAACTTATTGAATTTGGATTTATGATAGCAATATTGTTGTTGTCATTAAGTGCTGGCAAGTTGGTCCTGACTCGTAGTGACCCTATATAGGGTTTCCAAGGAGCGGCTGGTGAGTGTAAACCACTGACTTTGTGGTTGAAACCAACCTTGCGGTCCCGTGCTTTATCCCATAGCACCACAGCAATATAGATGCCTAGAATATTCTCATATGCCAAGACAATCTGATACCACCCACTATAAACAGAGGTTCAAACAGAATGAGAGGATACTGCTTGGCTTAAAATCAAGAAAGGTGCACATTGGTATTGTATCCTTTCACCATATTTATTCAATCTGTATGTTAAGCAAATAATCTAAGAAGCTAGACTATATGAAGAAGAACATGGCATCGGGATTGGAGGAAGACTCATTAGCAACCTGTAATATGCAGATGACACAACCTTGCTTGCTAAAAATGAAGAGGACATGAAGTACTTACTGATGAAAATCAGTATGTACTAAATCTAAATACAAAGAAAAGAAAGATTCTCAAAACTGAACAAATAAAACAAAATCATGATAAATGGAGAAAAGACTAAAGTTGTTAAGGAATTCATTTTGCTTGGATCTATAGTGTATATCAAGAAAACAGCAATTAAGAAATCAAATGACGTTATTGCATTGGACAAATCTGCTGCAAAAGGTATTTTTAAAGTATTTAAAAAAAAAAAGTCACTTAGCTTTATATGCATATGAAAGCTATACAATGAATAAGAAAGACTGAAGAAGAATCCGTGTATTTGAATTATGATGAAAGCAAAGAATATTGAATATTACCATCAATTGCCAGAAGAATGACCCAATCTATCATGGAAGATGTACAACCAGACTGCTCCTCAGAAGCAAGGATGACTAGATTTCATCACACATAGCTTTTGTTTTGTTTTTTTTAATGTTTTATTGTGAATTATGTTATAGTTTACATGGGAGAACATTAGCCTTACATTCATCCTATCGTATATCGTTTCATCGCCATGGTTATAATCCCCTCTATGCATCATCAACCAACCAAAGGGTATGCCCTGCAAACCTGCCCCTCAGTCATCAGCAAACAGCCCCTCTCCCTCTCTGGGTCTAAAGTCCTCAGCTGCTCCATCTCTCCACATCATCATCTCTGCCTCCATTTCTGGCATCACTGCTTCTCTAGGTAGGGTCCCGCTCTCCACTCTTCTCCCTTCATGGTCCCAGGGACCTCCACTCCTAGACTGCAAAGTCAATCACTCCCCTCCTTTTGCTACTAAATGTCTACTTTACATTTCCAACCCTCACAATCAGTCCTTATAACAATTATTCACTATTGTATCACAAGAGATCTATCCCCATCTCCTTTCATCAGCCCTGCCCAGAGATTGAATACTACTCAGTGGAGATTCTACCTTTCTCCATGCCCTCTGGGTCTACGTTCCCTCTCGAAAGCTTGTAAGCCAGTCACTTCTTGCCTTTGTAGCCCCCCCATTTTGGGTAGCCAATGTCCAAGTTTCCCATCCCTGTCTACTCTGAAAATGGAGGGGGTGGGAATGATCCTCACTGTAAAGATTTGATCCCTCTTTTGAGCTACTGAATCCATAGGTGTAGGTCAAGTTCATCAAATTGTATCAGATTACTCTTTTTTTCCTCTTCTTTCTTCTTCTTGTTGAGCTCTGATAATCCAGTCATTGAAGTCAGTTCAAGTGGGTATTATCTGCAAGTGTGGGTGTTCTTATGCATATGCCCTCTCATCAGCTGGATGCTTCACTCTCCACTCTAGTCCTCTGTGGCTATGTCACTGACTCTGGGCCCAAGAGTCCCCAGGTTTTGCCACACTGCTGGCCAACCAGATCTCCACGCGGGTTCATAGGAGTCTATTGAATGTTGTAAGGCTTTGCTTGCAGCTTCATTGCTGTTTTTCCCTCACATCCCCTTATCAGTGATGAACATGGTCACTAATCAGAGTGTGTTTTTCCATTGAGTCTTAGTCTTGAAAGGGGGTTTTCCCTGAGGGGACCCAACCACTTACCTTGGTGTCTCCTGGGAAAGCAACTTGCTTGTTCTTATAGTAATCAGTTGGACTACCTATATTGTTTTGTATTTTTCCTGTCAGTCTTTCTTTCAAGAGGTAGCTTCTGTTCTTCTAGCCACTCCAGGTGCATCTGCTTGTCCTTTCCAGTGGAAATTTCCCACCTCAGAAGATTCTGGATGGGGTTCAGGATTACATCTGTGGTCTTATGTAACACAGAAGCTCCGCAGGAAGCCTCCTTCATTGGGCACGATGTAACCCCATTTTAGGTAATCCCCTCAGGTATAGGCAGAAGACAGACTTACAAGCTTTCTATGATGATATTTCTGGCTATTCCTTTGTCTCACCCTCAAGTGTCTATTTTATAATGGTATTCCAGGGAAACCAAGATACAAAAGACAGCAAAGCATCTTAACATTATTTCCTCCCTTTTCCCCATTCCAACCATGTCTCAATCCATGTATCCCAGAGCCCTGTTGTTCCAAGGTTGTGCATACATCATTATTTACCTCTATCCCACTAAGCCCATGCACACCTGCCTAATTGTTTTACCGTCTGCTTTGTTCTTCCATTCCCCTCCCACTTCTTGCATCACACATACTTTTGATATGTTATCAGGTAGGACCAGTCCATGGAGACAGATGTGATGCTTGGTAAAGTAGAAAGTCATCAAAAAAGAGAAAGACCCTCAACTAGATGAACTGACACAGTGGCTACAACAATGGGGCCAAATATGGCAACAATTATGAATACGATGCAGGACCAGGCAGTATTTTATCCTGTTGTGCAGAGCGTTGCTATGAGTTAGAACCAACTTGAGGACACCCAACAGAGTCCTGGTGTAGCTCTGTGGTTTAATCTGCCAGACTGCAAAGCCGTTTGAACTGCAAGGTTAGCAGTTCAAATTCACCAGCTCCTCCTCGGAAACCCTATACAGGGTAGATGTGAGTCAGAACTGATTTGACGGCACTTACAAACAACAACCCTC